GCTGGGCGGTCCCGCAGACCCTTTTGCGCTGGGGCCGCGTCGGGCTCTGTGCAGCGAAAATCGGCGAGCAGAGCTGAGGAGAGGACGGAGGGCCCCGAGGTGCCCCGGGTAGTTCCCGATTCAGCCCGGTTTATGCGATGTTCGGCCCGTCCGGCTGAGCCCCTGGGCGCTGCCGCCTTGGCCTTCGGGTAGCTGCCACCCGCGAGAGCTAAAATGGGTCATAACCAGTAGAACCATTCCCTGGGAAAGAAAAACTTATAGCCCGTCCAAGATGACCTTCCAAACTGGTGACAAAACTAACGAACTAACTATGACGAACTAACAAGCTGCTGCGTCTGCAGTAATTGTTTCACATCTCCTGTGGATGTGATCCTTCGGCCTTGCCTTAACAGCTGCAGAGTGTTTAGTGCTTCCGTCAAACTGAAAGTAATAAACCAAAGTGGATTTCTGTTTACTGTTTATGTACTTGTACTGTTTCCCACCACTGTCTGTGAATTATTTCTGCATCTATTTCCACTTGTCTGTTTGCATCAAAGAACTACTCTTAAATACTGAACAAAACTTAGCTATAACAATGATCAGAATTGTATCAGAGCAAAAGAGCATTTCTAACTCTGGTATTTATGTCAAAGCTGCTAGTTGTTCTGCTGACTTGAATTCAAGAGTGCTAAACATCCTAAAATCCTCTTAAATTTCAATAGAAAGGTACGAAAAGCTAAATATGCTACAGTAAGTCTCTTATTCATGGTGTTGCTGTTGTCCTTTTGCAGCGCCGATGTTCAGCAAGGAAAACCTTCACAGCCTTCCGAAACACCAAACTGATTCCCATGGAAACATCTTCATCCTCTGATGACAGTTGTGACAGTTTTGGTTCTGATAATTTTGCAAACACAGTAAGTACAGTACAAGAGCAAATAAAACACTGTGTGCAGCACTTGTAAAGCTTGTAAAAACATAAAGCTGGTAAAGCTAGTAAATGTTTTGTGCATGATTAAAACTACTTGCTTTGCCTATGTTTTTATATAGTAGTTATAAATCCATGCTACATGCTGTAATTCATTTTATTCTTCACTTGTGCTTCTAGGTGGTAATTGTTGGAAACAGATTAGCTACTTACTTGAAATGTCACCTAACCTAAAGTGCCTAGTAATTTGCAGCTGTGGTTCTGAAACCCCTTGTTAAGTTAAATGCCTTAACTTTTTTTTTTCTTTATTAAAAAAGCTATTTGCTTATCCTGCACTTGTAAATGTGAATAATTTTCTGTGCAACTTCTGTTAAAGGATCTTTTATTCTTCCTAGAAACGTAAGCTTAGGTCGAGTATTAGAGAACTGGCAAAAGTTTTTCATGAAGCCTCTGAGAATGAATCCTGTGGCTTTTCAGAAAATGAGGTTCAAGATGCACTGGTAAGACAGTTGACTTTACTTTGAAGTTTTATACTTGAATTCTTACACATTCTTAATTGGAAAATAATCACAGCTTCAGCTTGAAGGTCAAATGTTTCAGAAAGAAGTATCATTTTATTTAATATACAGTCTCAGTAGCCAAAAGTTAATTTTTGTCTATGTAAAAAGCTCTCAAGATTCTGAGTTTTGCAAGTTCAGAAAGAAATCTGTCATGTGTTTTGAAATATACCTCTTAAAACTGGCTTTGACAGATGTTACTCTTAAGCTAGCCCACAGACTCCAGCAACCCTGAGAAAAATGTCTGTGTCTCTTGACATGCAGTCAGATCTTCACTCTGGCAGTGTAACACGGAGTGCTGTGCTGCTTTAACAGTAGAAGTATAGTGACAGGTGGTGAAATCCACCTTCCTGTTTTTCCTTGACATCAGTGTAAGTTCTGTTTTATTGCTTAACAATACCAACAGTTGATGTGCAGAAGAGAAGACAGTAGTACCATGTTTGGCAAAAAGTAGGTTTGTCATAGCTTCAGAACATGCTGAGGAAAAACATACTAGAAAAAATAACCATGCTAGAACATGCTAGAAAAAAGTGAGTCTGATTGGAAGATGACATGTCTGAGTTAAATAATACACAGTAGTAAAGAGAGTAAGTGGGAGACAAAGCCAGAAGGGATATGTAAGAAAAAGGAATCAATAACTACAAATAATGGGCAACCAGAATCATATACCTGGTTTAATAAAAACCCTGTGCAAGTAAGGATTGCCGTTTGATGTCTGTTGTTATTGATGAACAGTATAAGACTGTCTTATTGAGTCTAAAGGAAAAGTCAAAGCCTATTGTAAAAATGGGACTTTAACTAAAGAAACTAATTTCCATCCTCACTGCACCTTTGGTTCTTGGAAATGTAGTCAGCAAGGCATCAGAATTCAAAGATAAGAAAATATTGGGATTTTATTTGTAATTATTTCATTGGTTTGCTCTGGAAGGAAGTTTTCACTTGCTATCATTGATACTGTGAGATGACTTTCATTGACAGCTTACAAAACTGGGTTTGACCATGTGCAGAGAACTGCCTAGTGGCTTTTTCTACAGCCAGATCCTTTATGTTGCAAAATCGATCCCTTTAAAGGCAGTTCTCTTTCTCACCACACACGCGCACACACGATCTTTGTCGCTAGACCTGCAAGTGACAGCTAAGACTGCTGCAGCTGAAACTAAGCTCCTTTTTCTGATGTGTTGTGGCAGTGCAGTCTGACTCTCCCTGAGAAGTTTTTATCCCTGTGCTCCCCTGTTCTTCTGCTCCCCCTCCAAGATATACTAGAGGACTAGGACCGGGTGTCTAGATTTCAGCTAGATAGCCTCTTTAAACCACCCCCCAAACAAAACGTTGACTGTATTTAATTGCAGCGCAACTCTTTTGGATTTACATGCTTTCATTTTGGTTTGTTAACAGAAATTGGAGTCTGATACAGAGGAGAATCGTACGCCTGCTGAAAGTGGGGCAGCTCGGAGAAGGCAGAAAAACTCTTTTCCTCTAAAAGTGGCCATGAAGTTTTCACCTCGAAGATCACAGAGGAGGAGGAAGGCTGAGGTGGAATCTCCTCCTGAAACGCTGATGCCTGCTCTAGATTCAGACTCTGACACTGAAGAGAAGGGTGCTATGTTTTTAGAAAAAAGAGCTTTAAACATAAAGGAAAACAAAGCAATGGCAAGTACTCAGTGTCTCCCTGGGGACTCCCTTTCTCCCTCCTCCCCCTCGACTCTTGGGGGACCTCTTTGTTTAAATTAACTCTAATGGGATTTATGTGAATGCCTTAATAGGAATTTGCATTCCTAATTTATAAATCTGGTACTATATATCCACTGGCATATGAAAGTCCATAGGCTACAGGCCTAACAACATAATACGTTTGAGCATTTCCAAATTACTTGTAGTTACTAGAACATAAGACATAAAAGTAAAAAGCTGGAGTGACTGCTTTTCCTATAAGTAATTGTGTTTCTACCCAGTTGCCCTAAGAGTCTGTAAGAGCACATAAACGCCCTTTTAAGGCTCTGCTCCCTTTCCCTTTCTCTTGTTAGCTTGCAAAACTAATGGCTGATCTGCAAAATGTTTCTGGTATCTTTGGTGAGAAGAAATCATCGCCAGCTGTCAGTCATGTGAGTATAAACTTAGTATATTTGTCTTGAGATTTCCAAGAGCCAAATTCTGACCCCACAAAACAGGTCTCTCAATCAAAAAACTTAATAAACCATGCAAGTCAAAGTCCAGTTCAGAATTTTATTGCTTCCTAAAAACAGGTATTCTCACTGTGCCTCCTCATGGGTATCCTCTTTCGATTTGCCACCATATAAAGCAGGACAGATTGATTAATGAAGGTTAAGTGTCTCCACAGACCAATAAAACTGAACAAGGTGCTGTGTAAATATATATACAAAGGCTGGAGTTAAGGAGGATGGCTCAGGCCTGAATATTGTGTGAGTTTGGAGCCTTGAGAAACACCTGGCATTTACTCTAACCTTACAGAAGTTTGGATTGTGAATCAGCAGGGTAATGAATTTCACTGCTGATTTACCTGTAAGCTGTGTGAAGATTGGAACAACACTAAAATTGCAACTCCTCATAGACATGGGTTCTGCTGCCATGGACACAGACTTGCTTTTGACTGTTTCTCTGTGACTAGCAATATGCGCAAGATGAATTTGCCTAGGATGTTTTTACCTCATGTTTTCTGACTTGGATGGGGATAGACATGTCTTTGGGAAAAACAGAAGGAAGGCATCTTTTGGGGAGGAATTCAGTATGGCAGGAGCTGTCTAGGTTTTTGCCTGTTTCATTAGGGGCTTTTAAATTTTACCAGGGACCAAAGCAACTTCCAAGGCGTTCACTGCCCAGACATGCTTTGAGGAGGAACCCAGACCGAAGTTCTCGGCCTCACACAAGGTCCAGGTCCTTGATTGAAGGTCCTCCTACTCCTTTACCAGAAGAGGAAGATGATGACCGATACATCTTAGTGAGAAGGAGGAAGATGTCTGATGAACACCTGGAGGTATGATGAGGATCTAGTTCTCCTGTTGTGGCTTGTGAAGGTGGTTTTGTATCCCTTCAAGGAAACAGCAATTCATACAAAGTTGTTGAGGTTTATGAGTATGTGATGGCCTGGGAGGAAGTGCAAAAAATAGCATGTTGTATGTATTCTCCATTTCCCCTCCCTTATCCTTGAAAAATCACTTCCTCTTGCACTCTAGCAGGAATTAAGCAAGATCAGTAGCATCTCTGCACTCTGAAAGTGACAGATCAAGTGAAGGTGCTAAATCTGCATCCATTTGTGCAAATGTGTGTTACATGTTATTTAAATATATGGATGGGTATTTGAGACTTTGGCATTGCTGTGAAGATCCTCACCTTTGTAGAGTTTCTGCCAAAACTAATACTGAAAGTACTGTGTCTTTGCTATTCAGCATGAAGCCCGAACTCCCAGGAGGGGTCACCGTGGTGCCATAGCTTTTCCACACATCGTGCGCCCAGTTGAGGACATAACAATGGAAGAGCTGAATAATATTTGTGGCTCTGCAAGAGAAAAAGTATATAACAGGGCTATGGTAAGTATATTCCAGCTGCATGAAACGTGTACTTTGTGAAGTCATTTTCATGTGTCATTTTCATGTTATTCCTTGCGTGTGTTTTAGCATCTAATACAGCAGACTCCTCTTCACTTGAGAGGAAGGAAAGTGACTAACAAACACTGAAGATGCAGTGTTAAAACAGTTGGTTCAAACTTGTCAGGTGGCTTTCTCTCTCAGGATAAGCACTGCTAGCTGCCAAAGAGATTTTGCAAAATACTCTATTCCCCTAACTAAATACTCTATTCCCCTAACTAAAGTGCCATCTTAAAATGTCTTGTTTCTTTTTCCTGTGTTCTAGGGATCCACCTGTCATCAGTGTCGCCAAAAAACCATAGACACCAAGACAAACTGTCGTAACCCTGATTGTATAGGAGTGCGGGGCCAGTTCTGTGGGCCCTGCCTCCGCAACAGATATGGGGAAGATGTCAGAACAGCCTTGCTGGATCCGGTAAGACAATTCTGAATGTTGGCTTTATGGTGCTTCACTTGAGCAGCCAGGTGTGTTGGTTACTCAGCAGATGTGTTTTAACAAGGGAGCTGCCTGCAGTGCTGTAGTATATAATGCAGTCCTGGTTTGATTCAACCTGAATCACAGAACTACGTGTTGTGTAGAACTTGTTGTATTTACTACTTTTGTAACTTTATTTGCAGGAGTAAAGTGTGAGAGCAGAGCAGCAGCCAAAATATTCTTGTATTTGAGCATCAGAATAGTGTTCTCTTTGCCTTGCATTAGTGCCTAATGGCCTATGGAAAGAAAATGTATTGTGGACAAAATGCTGCTGTTGCGGGCTGTGGTGTAGGAGTTAAGTAGAGTGAAATGCTTCCTGTGGTTATGTGCAAGGCAGGCAAAGGAGAGTTTAATCCTCTACAGACTGAAGAATTTGTACTCTTGCCTTGGTTTAGACAACTGCAGCCCTGATGTTCACAGCAGAACTCAGTGTGGAGCAGGACACTTGAGTTGTGAGTGTGAATTACACCTGGCATTCCGGTTTGGTTACAAAGGCTGTTTGTCTCTCTTTTGTCTAGACATGGAGGTGCCCACCATGTCGTGGAATCTGCAACTGTAGCTTCTGCAGACAACGAGATGGCCGATGTGCTACAGGTGTCCTGGTCCATCTGGCCAAGTACCATGGCTTTGACAATGTCCATGCCTACTTAAAAAGGTAATGATACCATTGTGTCGGTGACGTGATTTCTTTAAGTGGGATACACATCTCAAAAGTGAGACAGCAGCACTGTCCACATCCTAGTTCTCAGGTAAATCTTAGGATCAGTCTGTGTTCCCTTCATCATTTGAGATTTTACCATATGATTTTTTGATATGCTGATTCTTAACCAAAACAAGTGGTATATCCACTCTGTCTTTTGGCTCTCAGCTTCAGTGTGTTTATAGTCAGGGCCTCCAATAACGTATCTAAAGAATTTTCAGTGTTTTACTGCAAGCTAACTCTTGTTTCTACTTGTTTTTCAGTCTGAAACAAGAACTTGGAATGGAAGACTGAAGCTCTGACTGCCTTTAAATTACATACTCTTTCACCAATGTCATGTTATTGCCTACACAGTGAAGTGTTTAAACAAATGAGATTACAAAGTGCCTTCCGTCCTTCCCTCCCCTTTTGGATAAAAGAGGATAAAGAACTTGCATTTATTTCAGTATAAGTCTTATTTGGGAAAACTGTTTGATGAAGGTCTTTGCCCACAGGCTGTTGTTTTCTCTTTAAACAACTTTGTAATAGTATCAGTCCTTGGTTTTGTTGGGTTTCTTTCTGTAAAGAAGGTGGGACTTTAAGCCGTGAGTTTTATTCATGCAGTGATCTGTGCTGCAGGTTTACTTATGCTTTGAAATTGGTCACAAAATGATAGAGATGTCCTGAAAACTCAGGGCACTTTTCTCCACATAACCAAACAGCCAAATTCTACAATACAGACACTGAACGTTAATGATCAGATAGAAGCACAATTCTCAAAAACCACAGCATGTTCTTAAATTCAACAAGGAAGTCCTAAAAGTTGCAGCTGAGCAGTCTCCAAGCACTAATACTTGGTTTTATAAAATACTTAAAGTACACACTGGCCATTTTAAAGGAGATTCTCTGAGTTTAAAAAATGCAGCAGAAGCAGTTAGAGATGGCACTTAGTATTTTTTTTGTCAAATGAGACCATTGCTGAGAGTTTCCACAGCACTAGCATCGCCTGCTGGTGACAGTGATGTGAACATACTGAATGGTCATTGTGGGTGACCATTCTGTCTAAAACAGAAAATATCCTTTGTTAAATTACAGGTTTGGTGGGTTCTCTTCTCCCTGCTCTTGCTGCAACTGCAGAACTGTTTAACAGAATCAGCAATGGTCCTGGGGAAGAGAGATGCCTCCAGACCAGGCCTTGGTTAAGTAGAGGGGTAGTAGTTCACGTGTCTATTGGTCACCCACAAGTGGATGAAAGGTGGTAACCTGTTTAATTTGGTTAACAGGAAAAAGGGCGATGCTTGTTTCTGTATCTGGCTCCATCTGATTGTAGAAGGCTATTTCGCATGATGTTATTGAACAATAAGTACAGCCAAAATGGAGCTGAAGGATTCCAATATGCTGTGTGCATGTGTTCTCCTGTACTCAGTGCTGTGGAAAAGAAGGTGCCATGAAAATTGCATCCAGAGACCCACAAAGTGTGTAAATGTGCTTAGTTTGGTTATGGAAACTACTGTGTAAGCTTTCTATAAGGTTTAAAATGCAATGTTATAAATGTACAGTTGGAACAGCAGAAGAATCAACATGGGTTTAGACTTCTTAGCTTGCACAGTATTTGCACTGTGTGTAGACATACTGATCCACAGTTTATACCTTTCTGGGAGTTGCATCAGTGTGTGTGGGAGGGGAGGAGAGAGGAATTTAGAAACAAAAGATATTTATGTCTTAGACTTGCAGTTCTGTTTCATAAATCATCTCTCTCATCGTCTCTGTTGTGATAGTGTGAATAGTTGTGCAATCTGAGGTGGAGTGTGTTCTTCCCTCTAGGTACATTTTGTGAAGAAGGAACTCATTTTAGAAATACATGTTCTGACAGACAAAAGTGACGGTTTTTTCCTTCCTAATTGCTTGGCTTGCCTTCTGATTGCTAGAGTGGTAAAAGCAAACCCTTGTGCATATTACGGAGACTGCTGTATTTAGATTTACTTGGATCTCCAATGTTCTGTAAAAATCCATTTGGAAAATAAAATTTTCATGTTTAGAATTTCTTGCCTCTGAACTGTTTTATACAAAGCTTGTTAGAGCTGTATTTGTATTTTACCACCTCTCAGGTAAACTTCTGTTGCAAAATAAAGGAGTTGGTCGGTCCCGTCATACCTGGGGGAGCAGTGGGACTTGGACATCTTATTCTCCCCAGCCCTGTGTCCCTGAACCAGGCTTACTCTGATATTCATGCTGCTTGGATTGAATTGTTTGGTGCCTGGTGACTAGCCTGTGAGAGTTGAAATAGAGTGCTTACCTCAGGGCAGGTGTGCTATGTGCTTATTCTTCTGCTTTTATTTCTACTTGTTTTTAAAACTAGGTGCCTACATTGTGAGCTGACAGGGATGTGTGGAAGATGACATTTTGGACACAAGTTGAAGACAGGTGCTGGCCATTTAAAATTTTACTTGATTTTTTTTCAAAACAAGCTCTTCAGTAACTTCTCTCAGGAGCTCTTTCCTGGACCAGGTTATTACCTGAGTGGCCTTGATTGCAGGCTGATGGTAAAGACTGTTTTTGATACTTGTGCTGCTTTCACGTTGGCATAGCTGAGTCTAGAGAGGGGAATTGTATGAGACTGTGGCAAAGATTACACAAAGCTGGCCTGTAGTGAAAGGAAACAGGAAAGAAGTGATGAGCAGTGACTGAGCTGTCCCAGATACGCTTTACTGGTAAAATCCTCATATTGTTACTCTCACCTAAAAGCTGTATTTGGATGCATTGCCTTTCATCACACTGCTGGTGATGTGAGAATAAATTTGTGTGTAATTGTGTAGGGGTTTTTTATGTGATGATTTTCAGGTGTCTCAATACACTTTTTTCCCTGAGCCCTTCTACCACAGCTACCTAAGTACTGTTGATGTTAACTTGACAAACAGTTAAAGAGCTCATGATTTATATCTGCTGTGAATGGGCAGCAATTTAAGAAACTTCAAGAGGAAAAAATCCTGTCAGCTGTAAAAAACAAAGGTACATGGAAAGTATTGCTGTTTAAGGAGGAACAGAAGAATCAAGCTTATGTGTGAGGTCAAATGACTGCTAATTTATTATTGCAAAAGGCTGCATGAGTTGATATTCCCTCACTACTCTCAGCTTTAGAGCCAGGTGATCTTGTGCCAAAGTCTGATAAAACTTTTTAACCTGGTATAATAACTTAAAATGAATGTATAGCATATCCTGATTAAACTGGCCATAACCTTCTTATAATCAGAATATTTTCTTAGACTGGTGTATATATATTGTCATTTACTTCTTCCCTGTTTCACTTGCTTTTTAATTAAGCCAAACATTGAAGTGTCTTCAAATCCCAAAAAAAGGATTACCTATTAAAAATTACCTATTAAACAAACTTTTTATCATTATATGTAAGTTAACAAACCAGCATGGCACTATTGCTTCACAGGCTGAATTAGCATACACTAAACATTCCTGAGGAACACATTTGGCTGCTTAACTAGTTGCATTATTATAGGCAACTGCAGTGGAAGTGTGGAAAAAGATCCAGGCATTAGCTTTGGACACTACCCCTCTTCCTTCCTAACCCCATGTGCTGATACACCTTTATTTTGTCTTCCAGGAACCCAAAAACATATTTGGAAAAGTACAGAGATGATAACATACTAAAGCATCATCATCATTTGCCTGGGTAGGCTAACGGGGTGAAAAAGGGCAGAATGGTTGCATCTAGTTAAAGAATGGCTTTAAGTGTTCCAGGGTGAGGGAACATAGCTGACTTTGAAACCATCTGTAATATGTAATGTGCATCTGAAACATTTGGCAAGAGAGTCACCCACTGACCTCTGCTGGCATAATCCAGTTTGTTCTCTAATGCCTTTTTGTGAGTGCAGCTCTTGCACAGCTAATGGCATGAGCTGGTGTGGAGATCTTGGAAACACTGCCTGATGTTCTTGACCTCTAAAGCAACTTAAGGTGAGTAAAAAGACACAGCTTTCTCTGTCAAGTGTAGGCTGGCCAGTCTATGAGGTCCTAAACACCAGCACCCAGGTAATGCTGGGCTTTGTCATAGATATAGGTGACTGTATGACCTCCAAACACTGAAGAGAGGGCCACACCACATGTTCATGCTTGGGTCTCACTCTTCTTTCAAGTAATAGGCCTGAGACTCCCAAATGGATGTCAAAAAATCCCCACAAATCCTTTAGGAGTGGCAAACAGGAGGGGAATTGTATTTTAACTCAAAAATGTCATGATCAGTGCTAGTGGTAGAGAAGTCCTGAGAATGGGAGGCAAGAAGGGAACTAGGAATCCTATTGTGACTGATACTTATAAGAAGTTGTGGATATTGAATTTGTATCAAAACCTGCCAAGAGCATGGAGCTACAGTTATATTAAACCAGATCCCTTGCTACTCTTTGATACAGGCTGTCTTCCAGCTACAGTTGATCAGGGATGGCAGACAGTTCTTTCAGGTGAAAAAGACAAACCAGAAGTCATAGTATGGTCAGGATGGGGTAAGAAGGCATTGTATCTGTCTCTTTATTAGTAGTATTTTAGTAGTATTTGTGCTGATCACTTGAACTAGAAAGAAAAAATCAGTTGAACTGTAGATCCAGCTGTGTTGAGCCCTACTAAGAGTCTTTCCCTTGGCGTATATCTACAGGTAAAACACCTACTCCTGAAAGCACAAACAAAACGTTACTGCAATTATAGATTTGTGTTTGGGCTCAAGGTAGCTTTATATCCTTTCTTGTCTGTTAATAGCATTGAAGGTAGAATGAAATTTCGTACTAGGTTATGTCAAGAGGTGTAAGTAACAGAAGCCTATGGCAAACCTCCTCATCTTTTAATCATACAGTAACAAAGCAACTCTACCAGCACTTTTTGGCCTTGCTTTACCTCCTTTTAGTTCAAATGCTCAGGGTATGATTGTGAATTGCTACATAAACTTCCCAATTGGCTGACACTAGGGCTGAGGGGGAGAGGTCTCCTGCAAATATCAAAATTGTTATTGTTCATGTTTTCAGAGAAGTAGCAGTTATGTCTCTTCCTAAATATCCAAACAAACTCCTGTTTGAAAAGAAAACAACAGGAAAGACTATACTGAAAATTTAAACTTTTTCAGAGATACTGGCAGATTAATGATGGACTCGATGGTCTTAGAGGCTTCCTCCAACCTTGATGATTCTGTGATTCTGTGATTTAGATGTTTTCTATTTTATTACATAGCTGAAGTAAAACAGGTTCAATCAGTGCAACCATTTTGCTTAATACCTTGGAGATTCACCATCTTTAGATGTGCTCTAAAGTTCCAGATCTAGAGGCTTAGCAATGTTCCTACTCAAATGTGAATGAACATAGGCACTCTATCTTACATGATTCTCTTCTTATACAGCTTATTAGCAGAATTTAGCAGTAGGAAAGATCCTATTTCTTAGTGCTTTTGTGCTATGGGTTTTTTTGTTGTT